CCTGCTGCTGCTGGGCGGTGCTGTTAGCCGCACTTCCTTTTTGAGACCGTTCACCTTCCCTTCGTAGGGTGTGCTCAGGGTAGCTGGACCGAAGATGGCCCCTTTCCCCACAGCCATAGCACCTAGGGCTGTATCTTTTATTGTGGTCGCGAACCGTAACTGCTGTAACCTCCCTAGCGTGAGGTGAACGATGATCCTGTCGCCGCCAGGCAGTGTCGTTAGCTGCACTACCCTCTCGAGATCGATCAACTCTCCTTTCAACGGTTCGCTTAGGGCAGCTGATTCGAAGATGGCCTTTTTCCCCACAGCCATAGCACCTAGGGCTGTATCCTTTGTTGCGGTCGCGAACTGTAGCGGCTGCAACCTCCCTGACGCGATGGGAACGATGATCCTGCCGCACGGCTTCTACCTCCAGTGCATGGGCCAAGGCGTCCTTAAGCGTCTCGTGGTGCCCGAGCCTCACAGCAGCTCTGACTTCCAGGTCACGGATGCCGTCGATAAATGTCTGCACCAGGTTCCCTTTAATGAGCGCAGGTACAGACCGGTAAGCTTTTCGCACCAGCTTCTCAACCTCTAGAGCCCACTGCTGCAGGTTTTCGTTGATGCGCTGCACACAATCTTTAAGCTGCGCACGAAAGACGTGTTCCAGGTGAGCGTCGCCATATCTCGCCTCCAATGCCTCAAGGAGTTGCTCATAAGTCACTTCCTCACCGAGAGCTTCCAGAACTGTTAAGGCCTGGTCGCGCAGGCCTAGTGTGAGAGCAGTCATGGCCTGACTTTTATTCCAGCCGTTCGCCTTCATAACAGCCTCGAACTGGATTTTGTAGGCTGACCAGGAAGAGGTACCGTCGAACGGTGGCACCTTGAACCCACGTAGCGAAGGTGTTGTAGCTACTACGGGAGCTGTAGCTCCATCTCCAAGTTTGAGTTCGTCCAGTGATTTCTTCATGTCAGCCATTACGTTGTCAACCCGATTGTTTACTTGGTCGATTCGGATTTCAACTTTCTCGATTCGGTTTTCAGCTTCCGACAGGCGGTTGTCATGGTGAGCAACCCTATCCTTCACCTCCTTTATCTCCTTCCCGAAGGTAGCGTGAAGGTCCTTCATGAGGAGCATCTGTTCCTCCTGTCGGCGGGCCTGTTCCTCGTGTCGGCGGGCCTGTTCCTCCTGCTGCTCTTTCAACTGACTGGCCTGTTCCTCCTGTCCGCGCTTCAGCTGCTCTTCGAACCGACGAGCCTGTTCCTCCTGTCCGCCCCGCAGCTGCTCTTCTAATCGGCGGGCCTGTTCCTCCTGTCCGCCCCGCAGCTGCTCTTCCAAACGACGGACCTGTTCCTCCTGTCGGCGAGCCTGCTCCTGCAGCATCACCATCAGAGCACCTAAGTCAGGTGCTGCAGATGTAGGAGCTACTGACGGGCCTGCAGCTGGCGGCTGGCCCTCCGACGTCTGCGGCGTCGCACCACCAAATCTTCGTTGGTCCGTCTCCTGCTGGCGTTGACTTCGGGTACGGACACCCTCCGTTTCCTCCTTAGGTAAAATCGGCATGATTTTATCCCACTTCTGACACCAATTGTTACGAGCTTGAGGTTCGTGACAATAAAAATTGCCGATAAAATTACCTAAATTAACACTTTAATTTACTTTACACAATTAAAGTTAAAACACTAATAATTTAAACACACTAATTCACTTAATTCCACTCCGAAGCTTCGCTTGTTTCGCCCAAATCAACACTAACTCGATCGCATCTTGCAGCGCCTATATATTTAAATTAGCAAAGAAATATCCAGAATGTTCAAGTAAACACGGGCAAGGTACCGAGCGTTCGAGTTTCGACTAGGCGCTGTCGGTTGAGTAATTTGTGATGTCATTTTCTCAATGCTCCCCTCGCTCTCGTTCCTGACACTAGATGGCGCTAGTGTATCGTTGACTGGAGCGCGTAACAATACTCATCTTTTTCGATTCACGTTCGAACGTTGTTCTTAAATTATCAATTTTTTTTTTCATATCAGCATGTTGCATTTTTGCAAATTTTTTTGAAAACTTAAAAGTCTTTCATAGGACTTAGTTCTCAAGTCTCTATTTGAGTAATCTGCTGCCGAAGTGCTATAAGCATCTAAATTATTTAAATTAAAAATAATTTATATTTAAAATAATTTAGATGCATAAAATATTATAATATAAATATAAAATATTAATAACACTCCAAAAATAAAACAAAATACTCGCGGTCTGACACCGAGTCGCTTTCCCCGTCCGATGACATTTCAATGCGCGCGAGTAGGTACACGTCTGAACTGGAACGCTGGTCGTGTGTGACTATGACGTTTTATCGGACGAATGGTTCTATACATCGTCCGATTTAGGATCCGATTTTAGAAAAAGGACGTTCGGAACATCCGATTCTCCGATTTTGTAATAATAATAATAAAATTAGGACCTGTTGCACAATACATTATCCGATTTCATCCGATCATTAGGATCGGATCGGATAGGATCAGAAGGTGTGGAATATGCTTAAATAACTGTTGTGATATGAAAAAAATATGAAAGCATTAAGTGCACATAAACTCAATGAATTCTAAATAACTGTTGTGATATGAAAAAATATGAAAGCATTAAGTGCACAAAAACTCAACGAATTCTAAATAACTGTTGTGATATGAAATAGTAAAACTTCTTTAGGTGCGAATTAATAATAACTTAGATCTTTTTTTGAACGGGAGTAATGTTCAGTAAAATCTGTGGTCCATTTATGCAGTTTTCACAATTACAATGAGAGTGCAGAAGCATAAAATAACGCGATATTGTCTTTACTTATGAAATTGCCATTTTTATGAAATAAATTATTGCATTTTTTCCGTATTTTTTATTTAAATTAATTAAACTAATCACCCATGCAATCGATGCATCTTTGCCAACGCAGTTGCAGTTTATTGATGCCCTTCTTGAAAATATCAGCTGGATGGTAGGCAACAAATTCTTCAAAGGCATTTTGTACTACCTGTCGGGTATTGAATTTCTTTTCCGCCAAAAAGTTATCAAAATTGTGGAAAAAGTACAAGTCTATAGGCGAAAGGTCTGGTGAGTACTCCAGCTGACGGAGAGATTCCAACCACTGCTCTCGTCACATGGATACCGTCTGTTGTGCAGTAAGATTTAACAGTGTAATACATAGCTGTTTTTTTTTTGTCGCACGGATAGGTCAGCTCGAACCGGGTTTAGTTACTTCACAGAATAACAGCCTGAAGTAGAAATTTACTTCTGCATTTTGTCTGGTAAGTGGGGGTGGCCGGAGGCTCAATTCCCGCCTACTACTAAACATGGTAGCGTAGTTAAATAAAACATTTCCCCAGGAAGGTACCAGCACCTCTGATGACGGAGAATCCTTCGCTGCTTGCTTCGCAAGCTTCCTACTCTTCCTGAGCGTGGTTGCTCATGCTGCCCCGTGTATACTAGGGTAGCGAAATTCCGCTTGCGACTAAAATTGCTCAGTGCAAATTGATTAATAAGACAAAAGCGAAGCGAAGCCCTTGCCCTGCTAGCCGTGAATATCTGCCACGTCAAGGGACTTCATTCAAACGTTAACGCCGTCCAATACCATCTCCCCTATATATCTCTCCGGCTAATACTTCTTATCTCTTTTGCCGTGTAGTGGCGGTTAAGAATATGCGCTACCACATATCTTCCCGTGGGTATCGTAAAAGGCGACAGAGTGAAACAGGCAGGAGATGACCAGCAGCATCTTCCTAATAGTAGCAACTGTAAAACAAAAAATTGCGGTTGCCATCCCGCTCGCCAAGCGTGGCAAATATGACAGTAAACTCCCCATTAGAAATGACGGAAATAGACGGCCCCCAGTCCCCGGTGGCCTCGCTATTCCTGGCTACGGAGGCGACCATGGTAACGGCGGGGCAGGGGGTGTTAATAATCTCCGGTGGAGGTTCAGTTGCCACCTACGACAACTCGACCTGGCAACATATAACGCACATTACAGGATTATCCGAAGGCTCTCGAGAGGGGGAGGATACGGTGATTATAGAATCTGGCAACTTGTTCTATCACCGGGAGAGCGACCATCTGTCCCAAGGAGGTGTTGGATTTATCGTCTGCAAATCTCTCGTTAAAAACGTTGTAAAGATTGAGAGTTTGTCGACGAGAGTACCTTATACTCAGAATTACCAAACAGTATTCGCTGAAGGTCATACAGGTTTACGCACCAATGCCGGAACATCTCAATGACGAGGTGAAGGAAATGTATGAGGATATTTCTAGAGCCATGCATTCCTCTAAAACTCACTATACGGTGTTAATGGGAGACTTCAATGCAAAACCAAGCACAAGAGAAAGCGGTGAGATGAAGGTAGGGAAATTTAGGATAGGGCAACGGAACCCAAGGGGCCAGCAGCTGGCCGACTTCATGGAGAAAAAGAAACTCTTTATGATGAACTCTTTCTTCCAGAAGCGGCCCTACAGAAAGTGGACCTGGTCGAGCCCCGACGTTTCGCGAAAAAATGAGATTACTTTATTATGACGACTAGACGGCAACTGTTCAGTGATGCCTCAGTGATCGCGAGGGTGGAAACTGGCAGCGATCACTGAATGGTTAGAGGCACACTGAAATTAAACGTTAAGTTGGAGAGGTCTCGTCTAATGAAGTCAACGCTCCGTCCCCCTCATGCTCTTATCCAAAATCCAGAAACCTTTCAGCTCGAGTTACAAAACTGTTTTCAGAGCCTAGAAGATTGAAATGCAAGCAATGTTTTGTCCATGTTCATGTTCATCTCAATGAAGTGGCATTGCAATGTTTTAGGCTCTGAAAACGGTTTTGTTTTCTTTAAGACTTTGAAGGTGGTCCGTTTCTTTTATCCATTTTGATAGCTGTCATAAAAGATACAGGTGTACAACTTCTTATATGACATTTAATCTGTCGTTCAATTAATGATTGAACTGCGTCACGTTTAAAACATTAATTTCTGTTTTGTTTTGTCATTTTCCTTGTCTAATCTTCTTCTTCATGCATGTCATAATTTTCTTTAAATACTTTCCTGTCTGTTTCTTCTTTTCTGGACATGTTACCATAGCTGCTAGCATATTGTTGAACTGAATGCCTAGATATAAACTCTATGTTGTTAAAATATTTATTTATAAATTGTTCTTACCGTTTTTTGCAATAATGTATGTACACGTGTCTTTTTTAATTGACTGAGATAGAATTTTATTGAAGTGAAAATTATGATGCCTAGCAATAACGTGCAATTACTACACTTCTCTCTATCAGCCTAACGTGATATACAGTGTGTCCGGTCACGGACTAGCGATATTTTAGGTACTTATAATACAGCTATTTTAATATAAAAATACACTACACACTGAGGTCTAATCCCCTCCCCTCTATTTGGCAGCCATTTTGTTTTTCTCTTGAGATATTCTCTACGCGTTTACGAAAAAAGTCATATATCTGAAAGTTTTAGTCTTACTGAGATAAAAATTAACTCATTCAGAGGCCAATAATATTGTTTATCGTTTACATTATCAAAATTTTTGTTGACATACTTGTAACTTTGAAGAAAAAAAATTTAACTTCAAATAAATATCAAAAAAAATATGCTAATCCGCAAATTATTGTAAATTAGGTACGGCAAAAACAACCCAGTTTACCCTTTTACTTTTATACTAGATCGACAGATTTTGAGTTAAGCTACAATACAACATAAAGTTTACAGCTGTATCTTTATTACTTTAAGAATTATTGTTGTTTGAACATAGCATATGCGCAAACACAAAAGGCCTTTGTTAAATGACAACTGGCACTGCCTGCCTAGGAGTAATAGTAATCTAAGATTACTTATGACCTTCGATGAATTAGAGATGATGAATTAGAGATCAGAGAATCAGAATCATCATTTATAAGTAGTATAATTTGAGAGCAGGCAGCACAGAACACTATTACTCCTAGGCAGGCAGTGCCAGTTGTCACTTAACAAAGGCCTTTTGTGTTTGGGCATACGCCATGTTCAAACAACAATAATTCTTAAAGTAATAAACATACAGCTGTAAACTTTATGTTGCATTGTAGCTTAACTCAAAATCTGTCGATCTAGTATAAAAATAAGAAGGGTAAACGGGGTTGTCCAATACGTATGCTAGGGACCCCTGTCCCCTGGCATACGTCCGCCAAATATTTAGGTGTCACTCTAGACACAGGGCTCACTTTCAAGCCCCACGTCAAAAGAGTAACCCGTCACGCACGATTTTATCTGAGTAGGCTCAACAGTATGTTGGGCCGACACAGTAAAATGTCCCTTCGAAACAAGCGTACCCTTTACAAGGTCTGTATACGACCAGTCATGTCCTACGCGGGCCCCGTCTTTGCCCACGCAAACCCTAATATTTTAAATGAACTCCAAATAGTTCAGAACCTCTTCTGTCGTCGAGCTGCGAACGCACCTTGGTACGTCCGTAATGCTGACCTTCATCGGGACTTAGAGCTCCCAACAATTCAACAATTTTTTAAAAAACTCTCTGAGAACTTCTTCAAAGCCTCAGAGTCGCACCCAAACCATTTAATTAGTGAGGCAGCTTCTTATGCAGCCCCACCCCCCTCTCGCTATCGTGTCCGCAGGCCGAGAAACTCTCTCTCGGACCCGCCTAATAAACTTTCAAACGACCTGAACTGTCTTCTGGCGGCTCAGGCCAACTCTAATTAAATATAATTATTGTAATAACTAACATTAATTTGCCTTCGTAGGCACTCCCTCAGCGGCACTTAGCCGCCTGCGCCCTCTTTTCCGAAAAGAGGGTCGCTCATGATAAGGTTTTAGAGGGTATCACTTAGGGTCCCCGGTAGGACAGTGAGCCCCTCATAACCACGATAGACCGGCTATCGTGGTATGCGTAATGCATTTTCCGCCTCCCTACGTATAGGGTAGCCCTTTAATTGCTTCGGGCGCAAAAAAAAACGGGGTTGTTTTTGCAGTAATTTACAATAATTTGCCGATTAGCATATTTTTTTGATATTTATTTGAAGTTAAATTTTTTTTCTTCAAAGTTACAAGTATGTCAACAAAAATTTTGATAATGTAAACGATAAACAATATTATTGGCCTCTGAATGAGTTAATTTTTATCTCAGTAAGACTAAAACTTTCAGATATATGACTTTTTTCGTAAACGCGTAGAGAATATCTCAAGAGAAAAACAAAATGGCTGCCAAATAGAGGGGGGAGGGGATTAGACCTCAGTGTGTAGTGTATTTTTATATTAAAATAGCTGTATTATAAGTACCTAAAATATCGCTAGTCCGTGACCGGACACACTGTATGTTTATATCCATATTGCATTAAAAATATACCGTTAATGGATTTTTTTTTTTTATAATTTCGTAAGTCGTCATGATTTTGATAAATTAGGGTCTTGCAATAAGTGAGCTCTCTGTATTTACTTTTGACGGTTAAAGAGGTAAAGGCGTTATTAAAAAATTCAGTAACTCGAAAAATAACACTATTTCTATTTTCAGCACTACCAACCTCGTCTTCCATAGGAATATTTTTTTTTATATTTTCCTCTATGTCCTTGTTATTACGGCCATATTATTTAATTTTAATATGAATATGTAGTTAACATTCTAAGAGGTTATCTGTTTTCTGATTACAACAAATAAAACTATTAACTCTTATCACACTTGTCGTTTACTGACATTTATAGCATTTACATTTATAAACATTATGTTTACACATACATATACTAATATAGTTTATGCACAATATTACGATAAAGAAAGAACCCGAATACCGTGATCTATTATTGACTAATAAAATGAGGTTCCATTCTTGTTTAACAGAATTTTAAATGAATTTGTTTAAAAGAATTTTAAAACCAAGGTTTTACATTAGACGCGTATGTTAACTGATCTCCAGCAAATGGATGAATTGATTGCAATGATTTTAATTAATAAGCTTTACTTCAGAGTTGGTCCCATGTAAATTTTAAGAAAAAAATTGGATAAATAGAGTAAAAGCCAATTAGTTACTCAATCATCGATGGTTATGTTAGAAGATCCTAATCCTGATCTCTCTCGGGTCGTGTAGGATTATCTTTCCGGCGAACTATCAGTGTAAACTATGGTAATAGAGAGTGCATCTATATTTCCGCATACATAAGTTCCCTAAATTACTGACCTACAGAAATTACTATTTCAAAAGGTTATTGACAGTAAAAAAGGACGATAAATAAAACCGATTTAGTTGAATAACATCGTTATTTATAATTTTTTTTTGTTACAATTTTATATTTATTTATTACAATGAGAAATCATTTTAAAAATACTTTGAAACACTAAAATATTAAACCAACTTATTGACAACTCATGTTATTTTTTCTCCACTATTTGTAAAAAGCATAATTTTAATAGGTTTAATTCGTAAAATCATAATTTGCATTTGTCATTTTTTTTAAGACGTATTATGCTATCGTCTGTTCCGTATATTATACTACCATCTTTGTCTATAGCAACTGAAAACACACTTTCAAGGGTAACAATATGCTCCACGGTATTTCGATTTTCATTTATCGAATATATACCATTTGGGGACGAAAAGAACAGTTTACCATTTATATCAGAACTTAGTCCATTAATAACGTATTCACCTAAATTAATAATTTTTTTGTTAGATTTATTATAGTTAAACAAGCCCGATGAATTCGTAAAGTAAATATTGTTATTTCTGTCCATTGCAATAAGCATAACCTTTGTTCCACTCAATTCAGTCACCTCTTTAGAAATTCCATCGTTAAAAATATACGCTACTTCGTGTGGGTATACAGTATAATACAAACCATCTTTATAAAACATTTGCCAAATATTATGATTTCGTGCACCAAGATGACTTGTGGTTTTTGACTTCAAATCAAAGTCATAAATTCCACCTTTACTGCCCAAAAAAACTTTGTTATTTTCCAAGTCAACTGCCGATGCAAATCCATCTGTTATAGTTGTTATTGTATTAAATTCTTTTGTTTTAAGATTTATATAGGCTAACTGAAATCTTTGATCTTTGGTATTTGTTGAATAACTAAAGAATATGTTGTTGGTATTGTAATTAATGCTAAATTGATAAGGGCTATCTAAACCAGTTTTAAGCGTTTCTTTTTCATATATAACTCCGTTAATAGTAACACCTTCACATTTTTGTTCAGAAGCTTGTACTGAACCTAGAGCAAAAACCGCAAAATAGATAATTCTTGGCATCTGAAAATCAAAATTATATTTTAATTTTAACGTGACGTAAAAGTAATGAACAAATGTTTAGCGCCCAAGTTATTATCATAATGAATATCTTGAAATAAGACATAGAAAATATTTTTATGCAATACTCAATACTGAATACTCACATTATAAATTGAACACTTCGCCGGTTGCAATAAAACTACTAAATAAAATCGATATCAAGTGTTTAACATATTTATAATAATTTCTAGATAGTAGGGTATGGACGTTTTATCTCCTATCCCTGCACTGTAAGAACAATTTTTGTTTATTTTATTGTATTATTATTTGATATCAACAAAAGTCAAGTAAGCGAAAGTTTAATTAACCTATATAAACAAACAAATTCAAAGAACGATTAAGCGACATTCCAATGTTAATTACACAAAATCAATACTGTATAGGTAATGTTAAACATTATCAGTTTAAGTATTTTTAGTGAAATACATTGTATTTGTTAAATCACAAAGATAACCTACTATGGGAGAAGCTCATATCGAGCAGTGAAATTTTACGGGATTTTTGGGTCTTTTATGACGATGTATGTTACAGGTAAAGATTTTCCTTCATAGTTACGTTTGGCAGCCGGATTGACAATCGCAGTAACAAATATTGATGCCGGACGCCTAGATCTCTGATTATCAACCCACTTACAAACGGGACAACTAATGCAAATTCTCCCTACAACAAGAGAGCCTCATGTCCAGCAGTGGATATGTACAGGCTGAAGGAGAGATTAGATTTTTCTAGCTTTTCCTATAGTTGCCTAAGACATCCACGGAATAAAAGAGGGTGAGAGATTTTCTTACTTGGATACCACAAGGCAAAGATCAAAAATGACAGTATAATCATTTCATAATACAGGCATAAAATACCTAAACCGACTTCAATATACATAAAATGAAAACATCATCAATGTAGTCGAAGTCAATACACATTATAAAGGATCAGTTAAAAACCATTGGTAAGATTTTGATCAAATTTATATAGGACCACATTAGAAGCACCAGCTACCAAATAAAACTAATAATAATCAAAACTTATTTAATAAGAAAAAAAGTTCTGAGGGAACACATATAAAAGAAAATACTATCGAATTGAGAACCCTTTTGTTGAAGACGGTTGAAAAGGGTCTCTGTCTACACACACTATCCGAAACCCAGCAGTATTATTCTGTTGTTTCACCCTGGTATTCTGTGGGAGTGAGGTCCTACTACAGTCAAGCCGAACAATTTGTGCTGCAACTTTGTATAGCTAGCATAGCTGCTAAAGCAAAGCGTAGCTCATTTTTGCCTTTTCTGTTCGTCTCACGCCGAAATCATCGCCTCACGGATGAAATGTTTGTCCGAAATAAAAGCCTTGTAAACTCGAGAATGAGATGAATGCATAGCATCGGTAGTAGAATAATTGTAGGGTTTATTTATTATTAGTTATACGTCAAAATCTACTTATTAAAATATGACTTACTTATTAAAATATGATTAGTAGGTTTACTCAGTAGTTCAGTCAGTTAATACTAAGGTATTAACAGACCGAACCACGAAGTTGCCCATGATTTACAACGACATAACATGAAAAAATAACTTAAACTTACTAATGCAATAAATATTAATCAACTCGTACTATTATTTAGTATTTTTTTTACATGGGGAAATGCCTACGTATACCCGCCTTGCAGGGGCAAAGACGGGTTACCGACTAAAAGCCCATGGTGTTCCACCTCCGTCGCATACAAGCAATGCCACGAAAACGCTTTTGCACATATCCGCGGCCCGACCAGCGTTGGTTGTCCCATGGCGGCCCCTTCTCGGGAGAGGACTACTCCTCCCCCGGTTCCTTCTAAGGTAAGGCACTCCAGAACACATGGCGCTTCCCTCCGCGGCTTTTGTCTTCACACCCGCAACAGACGCCGCCCTGTCCGATGCGGGAAAACCATGGGGCTAGGAAAAACGAGCATTTAAAAGTAATAGCCTTCCTGACCTCAGCGGCGGATCTGGTCTATGGATCCGCCGCTAACCAAGATTCGGCTGCGAAGGATAGGGAGAGCGACGTATCGCCATACCAACACTCCTCTACCTCCGCGACTCCACTTCGACTGCAGCGGTAGGGAGAGAGTGTACCCCTCTTGCCGCAGCCTGCCAACACACATCCGAAGTGGGGCGCCGAACCAACTTGGAGTGGCCTCCTCAGGCCGGCTCTAGACCTCCGGCTAGCCATGTGGGTTGCTCTTAGTTCACCGCGGATGACCAAGCCACGGCTACTAAGTCCCACCACCACCACCACCACGATAAGGCGGGAGACGGTTTGGTGGAGAGGGGGGGGATAAATTAGTACCTAGCTACCCAGTCTGATCTGCACTTGTTATGACCTCCGACCACTTCTTTCTAATTTCGTCTTTTTTCGGGACGAACCTTTTTTTATTTTAACTGCAATTTGAAATTTCCACATTCTCTGTGGTGAAGAAAAACGTCGCAAGGAAACCTGCGTATCTAAGAAGTTAAAAAATATTTCGGAAATCATGTTTTGGTATAGGTATGTGTCGCCGCCATCCCGCGTGGAGTCAACTTAACTGGTGGCCTGTGCCCATTAGTGGGATGTGTTAGGCTGCAACTTTTTTACTTTTAATAGGGCTATTCACTGCTAATCATAGGCTTCCCCCATTGTTTGTCAAATAGACCGGGTATTTGCAGTAGTATTCACGATTGGCAAGTGGGTTGGCAACCGCAGCTCTTTATTACCTTGCGCTGTTATCACGAAGATGCTACCCATCTCCTGTTTCAGTTTCCCTCTGTCGCCTCTTAAGACACCCACGGGACGAAAGGGGTAGTGGTTTCTTTTTCACCGCGTCTAGATGGTTAATGTATTATTTTAACTCCCGTTCATCAATTAGATTTTCTCCACAGGCTGCCAAATAGGCTGAATATTTGCCACAGTTGCCACGCTTGGCATGCGACTTGCCAACTGCATACAATACATTTATGAAATTTTGAAGTTTACTCGAACGTAAAAAAATACTGGCATGTAGTGCTAATCAATATTCAATGGAGCCAATATTAAAAGAGACTATGAAATTAAACCTCTTTTTATCAAAACTATATCAAATTTTAATAATGAATGTTATGTAAAATTGAGTAAATTAAATGTTTTAGATTTAGATTAAATGTTTTGTCACCATTTGGTTTATGTTAAGAACATTAATAAAAACACTTTTTAAGAGAAGAACCTTTAGAAACAGCACCCTTGTCCTACCTTAGGTAGATTATATATGGTAGAGTCATGCTGCAGTTATATTAGATGTATAGTTGTAGCACGAATGGGTCGGCTCGACCGGGGAAGGACCACGCTCTCATAGAATACCAGCGTGAAATAGTAGCTTAATGCTGCTGTGTTTCGTATGGTGAGTGTAGAGAACCGGAGACCCTTTTTACTGGAAACGAGGCATTCCATCTTAGTCCTCACGGGTGACAACGCATCTGCATTTTGATTCGTAATTGAGGATAGATGTAGATGTCTATGGGCCACAGCAACCACTTACCATCAGGTGAACTGTGTGCTTGTTTGTCACCCTATCCTATAAAAAAAAACCTATAGCTTCTCAATCTCAGCATTAAAATAAAAATCAGCAAGTGAGGTTGCTTGATTTTATAGCACTAATGTAGCATTAGGCATTATAGGAATTATATGTTGAACGCTAATACATCTCCATTTAACGTCTGGATGGAGGCTGATGACACTGCTTATGTGGTTTCTGAAAGATTTTATGATGCCTGCCTGTAAGTTCTCTTTGGAAATGTTAAGGTGGGCGCTGACCATTTATTAAACCAGTATTAAAATGTTATAGTAATCTGATATAAATGTTATTGTGTAATATATTCAGGATATTTAGGAAAAAATATACTTAAAAAAACATACTTTGTACAATTTATTGCAACATAATAACTTATAATTTACAAAACATTTATATGATTTTCTGTGACTAAACTAGTATAGATTTGGAATGGGTGTAGGTTTGACTAGAAAATAGTCTTTTCTGTAACTTATTTGAATATTATTAGCAATTTTCATGAGGGAAGGTAACTAAGAATTGACTGATGTAAACCTGATACAAATGACATAGGAAGAATTCTATCCCGTCTTATTATCTTCTTTGAATAATTTTGAAGATATTTGCCCTACCAATGGTTTTCGAATTTGTTAGTGAATGTTATTCATTATTTCAAGAGACATTTAGGCATCTGATTCTAGAGACCTTAAAACGTGGTGATATTAAGTTAAAATGTGGCCCTTTACAATTACTTCCTTCTGGAAACTTGAAAACTACCAATAATTTATTAGATATAAAACTAATATATATTTTACAGTACTCCCATAAATTAAAATATATTAATACAATCGTACAGTAATACCGTCTGCAATAATAAAATATCGTAATTTATAACTTAACATGACCTTAGTAGTTAATATTTACCTTTACATAGGACATCTTGAAAGGTATAGGTAAAGGATATTTAATAATATGTATAACGTTGCACTTTGTCATAACGACGATTCATGTAGCTGTAATGTCTTCGTACTTGTTATAATAATTTCTTATTAATAAATAATTCTTATTAATGAATGGGAACCCCGTTTCTATCTGAAAAGGATCAAAGAAAGTAAAAGAATATTAATGTTTCCCTAGTTCACTTTTATTAGGGTGATTCCATCCGTATTCGAGGGTTTTCGCGATGTGTATAGGTTTTCCTTCATCAAGATATACCATATTCGGTGTGACGTCTCGCATACAACAAATAACGTTAACTACATTGCGGTGAACCATCAACACGTTTTATATTCGTAGGTATATGTTGATCAGTACTGGTAAAAAGGGTTTTTGATTGGCATATGTTGCTATTTCACGCTGGTTTCCTGTGCAAACGTGGTGCTTTCCTAGTCAAGCTAACCTATTGATGCTAAAACCGTAATGTACGATACCGTGTCTCTCATAAAATGTTTACTAAAAGCAAATCAGATCATTGAACTATAAAAATTAAAACATCCTTAAATGTGTATTATGGGCAAATTTTATTCATCTTTTTTACCAGTGGGTATAGGTCCATTGCTGGCCATGGACTCTCGTTGACAGATTGGCGATGACGAAACAAGATGTCTAACA